TAACAGCCCAAATAAAGATCGGAGAACTTATCAAGGCTTGTCCTAAATTTAGACGAGACCTACATAGCTTCACTGCTGTACGCAGAAGAAAAGATAAATCTCTAACATATTGGAACTGAAGCCAAATCTAGACTCAACTGCAGCATACGCAAATTTTCATCTGAAAGGACATCCAGTTGAAACACTTATTGATACAGGAGCAGCCAAAACCTGCATATCAAGAATGCTTGCGGACACATTAAGTCTAAAGATTGATGGACCGTCAAACACAGTGTTTACTTTGGGAAACGCGAAGTTTCAAGCCTCCCAAGGAGTAATTCGAGACTTCAAAATCCAAGTTGGCAATTTCCTTGAAGTGCCTATTACAGTCGAAGTATTAGGTAATTGCCCAGTGTCACTCATTATTGGAACAAACTTCTTGGATCTTGTAAAAGCAAAGATAAATTTTGAGGATGCAACCATCACCGTCAACTATAAGGGACAACAATCCTGTGCACCACTTACATACGTTCGAGAAATGCCCAGCAAGAAGACACAACGTTACCAAGAACCACGTATAACATTATACGAAGAATCCGACGAATCCGACATAGAAGAAGAATCTGAAACCGAAAGCGACGACAGCAATTACGAATACTCCAGTAGTGAAAACGACGAATCAACCTCATCAGAAGAAAGTGATGATGAAGAATCCTCGGGAGAAGAGGAGATCGAACAAACAAAACATGCAGAATTCTTTCTAAACGATGACCGCCAACGTTACAAACCAAATGTCAAGGAATGGACAGCTGCCGATGGATCACCCTGTTTTGAAGTCGAAACAGCCGAGGGATTCACAATACCACCAAAGGGAAAAGCATATTTCTATGGGAAATTACCTCGCACAATCTCTGCAGATGTAAACTTCTATCCGCAAATATCAGCGACTGCACCCATTGAAGCAACCAATTATCCTAGCATACGAGCCGGAGCCACAGACTGCACGATCACCCTGGAAAACTTTTCATTCTGCGAAGTAGATATCCCAAGTGGATTCCTACTAGGAGACTACATGGAGCAACATTATATATGAGACGATGACTCCGATACCGTTTACTCTGAAGACTTGAACAATGAAGAGATATATGGTTACGATATCAACCTGCAATATCCATATCCAACACTGCAACGACAAGGAGCCCGATACGAGGAAGAGTTATTCTTCTTGGATCACGGTGCACAATCACCTACACTACTGGAGACTAGGAACATCGAGCCGAATAACACCATAGAAGTTTGGTCGAGAGAGAACATTACTATACCCGCCGGTTTTACCACTCAAGTGCACGGTAGATTTCTCAGACCCACAACGAAACCACTATATTTTGTACCAGAACAAGGAGTCCACCCTGCAGAAACAAGACATGAATACTTCTGCCCAGACGTAGAACAAGGAGCCACAACCTTCACCATCACGATCAAAAATAATCTGCCTTCACAATTGATTATTTCACCACGAGCTTTATTGGCACCTTTCATGAAATACAAGACAATGCAGACCCCGGAATAGAAACACCAATGGTGAACCGAACCGAAACCAACAAAGATATTCCAACACCGACCCCGTTAACCGAAGAACAATTAAAGTTACCAACATACCTGACATCCCTGATGACCACGATGGCAAGCTACGAAAAGCCTTTCTCGAACTCGTACGACAATATCAAGACTGCTTTGCCTGGACAGACGACGATCTTGGATGTACCGACCTATTGGAACATAAAATCACTCTAAAGAAGGACGCGATACCAGTAGCCTCCAAACCCTACAGATTAGCACCTGTAGAAGCTGCTGCACTGAAAAAGGAACTTGATCGGTACTGCTGCCTCGGAATAATACGACCATCCAACTCACCTTGGGCCGCACCAGTCATGCTCATCAAGAAAAAGGACAACAAGTCATACAGATTCATTGCCGACATGCGAGGGTTGAATAAATCATCGATACGACCGGCGACATACGTAGACAGCTTTTGGCAGGAAATACAAGCTGTAGGACAATCCCGGATTTTTTCAAGCCTTGACTTAAAGGATGGATACTTCCAAGTAAAACTCGCCGAACAAAGCAAACCGCTAACGGCTTTCTCTACAAAATTTGGAGCATATGAGTTCAACCGACTACCACAAGGATACCACGCTGCACCATCTGTTTTCGTAACCCTAGTACGACTAGCATTCCAAAAAGAAGAAGACATACTTTGTCGATACCTGGATGACTTGAACGTGCATTCAAAAACAACTGAGGACCATCTTGAACACCTTCGCCGAGTATTTGAATGTTTACGAAATGCTGGACTAAAACTTGGAGTTAAAAAATGTTGGTTTTTCAAAACTGATATTTCATTCCTTGGACATATCATCACTGGAGAAGGAATTTGCGTAGATGAAGCACGCACCAAGAAAATTCGAGAATTACCAATACCGAAAACTGTGACACAGCTGAAGTCCTTTTTAGGCTGTATGTCATGGTACCGAAACTGGATACCGCGGTTCAGTGCGATAGCACGAGTACTATATAACCAGACCAAGCAAGATGCCAAGCCATAGGGAGAAGAGGAAACAAAAGCTTTTAATAAACTGAAAGAAACTCTTATTTCTCCACCCATCCTAGCACGACCAGATTTCCATAGACCTTTCATACTGAGAGTAGATGCATCAAAGGAAGCATTTGGCGCAGCATTAATGCAAAAGGACGACCAAGGAAAAGAGAGAGTAATATCTTACCACTCACGCGTCACCACAAAAGGAGAAAAGAACTATAGCAGTTCCCGATTAGAGATGGCATGTCTTGTCTGGAGTGCAAGACTCTTGAAACCATTCTTGTTGAATAAATTCGACGTGTATTGTGACCACAGCGCACTACGTGGAATATTAAACCAGAAAGAACCAACAGGCATAATGGCCAGGTGGATTGAGACACTGAGTGAATACGAATTCGACGTACACTACAAGAGCGCCCACCAAAACCGAAACGTTGACTTCCTCAGCAGACTACCAGGATTTGGAGAAACCACGAACAGCAAATTCGACCGTTGCCTACGATTCAAATGTGGAAATTTCGAAGACGTTGAACTGGAGAAAAAACAAGAAGAAAAGACGACGACTGACGAACCAATACAGCAAGACGAGAATACACCAAAAATAACCGAAGTCACCAACACAGGACATTCCAAACGCCGCGAACAAATCTAAAGATTCCAGACCACAACAACTGCATAACACTTGAAACACTGAACACAATCAATCAACGTACCACAAAGCCAACCGGACGCCGATCACAAACTGATTATCAACACATCACGAACAACACTGATAGCAACATACCAACGTCGATCACAACACTATTACAACATCACCCCGCACAAAGCTTATTTTGAAACATTCTCAAATTACTCGACGACATACAACTACATCTACTGTGTCACAACCAAAATCACAATGGATAACAACATATACAACGGACTCAAGTATTATCTTGAAACACTCGAATACCCACCAACTAGTAGCAAGGAACTACGGAAAACAATTCGCACTCAAAACGAACACTATATCGTTATAAATGGAAAAACTCTACCGCAAAGGATCCACGCCAAAAATGATCCTACAGAGGAGCGAGATCAAAGATGCAATCTGGATGGTACACAAACATCCTCTTGGGGGACATTTTGCATTCCAAAATACACTATTCAAGCTAAAAACAAAATACTACTGGCGAGGAATGGCGCAAGACGTAAAACAATTCATCGCACAATGCGACCGGTGTCACCAACACAAGAAACCCAACAACCAAGAAACACTATACCCGATTCCGGTTTCGAACATTCCGTTTGAGAACGTGCATATCGATATCAAACATCTACCAACAGCCCAGAGCCTACATCGCTATATCATTGTAGCTATTTGTTCTTTCAGCAAATATGTCGAAGCACGTGCCTTACAAGTGGCAAATGCAGCAGAAGTTTCTCTGTTTGTTTACGAATGTGTCATTACTATACATGGCTGCCCACGTGTTTTGTGCTCAGACAACGGCTTACCTATCCAAAACAACCTTGTAAATGCCGTCTGCAAGCAATACGGCATCGAACATCGACTCACATCACCATATCATCCACAAGCGAACGGACTAGTCGAACGATTTAATCGAACGGTCGGAGTCATGTTGAAAAGACTCAATAAAGAAGAAAAGAAGAACTGGCCAATGTACCTACCTGCACTACTATTCGCATACCGCAGCATTCGACAAGAAACGACGAAGCGATCTCCATTTTACTTGATCTACGGACGAGAACCACATACACCTTTCGACCGACACGTGCAACCACAAACAAACATTGCAGATCTCCTGGAAGAGGATGATGAGCGCGACGAAGATACGATCATACTCAACTTATTTGAGGAACATATCACAAGACTCAATACAATAAGAGAAGAAGCGATCGATACAGTCAAAAGTGCACAAGCGGCACAGAAACAGAGAATCGAAAAGAAATTACTGCAGCAAGGCAAGGAACTGAAACGCATTTTCCAAATTGGAGATACTGTTCAAGTATATCAAAATTACTTGGAAGGAAATTGGGCAGGACGCCTAGAAGATCTATGGGAAGGACCATTCTTGATTCACAAGGTCAACAAACGCGGCACCTATCGATTAAAAACGATGCAAGGAAGATTCTTACCGAACCCCTACCATGGAAACCGATTGCGCTCTTATACCCTACCTGATACCGAGTACCGAGCCCCAATACCTCAGGCATCGCTGCACCTCATTACCGACGAGGTCGATGCAGTACCACCACAAGAAGATGTATCAGAATCAGACCAAGACGAAACAACACAGACGATGCCGCAGCAAGGAAAATCGAGAAGGACTAAAAATGCAGGAAATCGGAGAAAAACAAAGAAAAAGAAGAAAAGAGATAGTAGCTATCGACCTACTAGAGGACGTTCATAGAACCATAACTCTGAAATATAAACGTGCATATGCATAAAAAAGAATTTATACATTTCAAAAAGAACATATTATAAAATAGAGAAAAAAAAACGTATATAAAGAAGAAAAATATCCTAAACAATCAACTCTATCATACCACTTGAACTACTACAATGAACAACAACAACAACAGCAATATCCAAAACACCGACAGCTTCACCATTGCCGCTCCATGGGCACAAGAGGTGATGTCAGGCAACAACATGAATGGATGGGGATCGCCACCCGCGCACATCCCTAGCCGACAAGAAGGCGGATGGCGAGAAGAACCGATGGACGTCGACGACGAATCAGCTAGCAGCCAGCAACCGACAACACCACCACCACCAAAGGACGCCACGGAAAACGCGTTTGAAAAAATAGCAAGCCTTGTTCACGAGGACCTCCGTACACATATCGAACTTACCAATTACTTCGCGGAAGCCTCCACTCTCTTGGCTATGAGAGAACATGTGAATGAACAACTATTACAATTAGCAGGTCACGCAAATAGGATCGTAGCAAGATGCCGCGTCCACCCTCAGCCCTACTTCTCTGAGGATCAAGTGAGATCCATTGTCATCAACACAATCCTACAAAACACGTTCACGTGAATACCGACAAATTTTTATTGCCGAGATTGTTGCCACCTCATGTTTGGCAATCGCCAAGAAGGGTTTGAATAGACGACTCCGGAGTAGTAACCTTGCTGTAACCCAAAAAAATGTAGTAAAAAAAAAAAAAGAAAAAAAAACATATAACACAAAAACAACACCCACAAAACATTCTTATTACCTATCATATATCTATCTATCAACTGTACCACATTCATACACACATATACATCTTATACACAAATAAATATTCAAATTGGGTACAGCATTAAAAGGGAAAACTAGTCATACACATATACAAACACACAACAACTATTCCAATAACACCAAGAGACAATTCAAGTAAAAGGATGGAGCGCCGAAACACACAGAGTGACTCTACGATCCGTAACCAAATCCACAACAATACAAGGGAGCGCCAACACATACGCAAAGCGACTCTACGATCCATACACAAATTATTAATGCAATCGAACGGATAGAGTACCGAAACACACAGAGCGACTTTACGATCCACACAATCAAACACAACAAACCAAAAGGATGGAGCACCAACACATACACAGCGTGACTTTACGATCCAAGGAACATCACAAAGAATTACAACAAAAATACGAACGGATGGAGCGCCGACGCACATACAGAGCGACCTTACGATCCATTATACAACAATTTAAACGATGTGGGACCATCTTTTTCCGGGCCCGAGGAGGTGTGTTACCCTGAGAACCACCCATAACAAATAAACCAAACATACAAAAGAACCACACACCAAGCAGCAATCAGAATACAATACGTAACTACCGCAGCAACCGCAGCAACTCTACAACTCTCTTGCACCCCCAAATTATCAAAAGGAACAACTATAAATAGAACGAACCCTTTACCTTGTAAAGATTCGATGAACAGCTTGTTGAATAAGAGCATTACCGCAGCATCCGCAGTAACAGCAAGTTACCGCAGCATGGCGTTGCGCAGCAACCGCAGCAACCGCAGTATGAATTATCTTAGACATTATTAAATAACCAGAAAGATATAAATACCCCATCATTTTTATTTGAATAAAGACATTGAATTTCTACCTCCCACTTTTGACTTAACTTTTCAAGTGTTGTTTTCAATCACTCAAGACCTAAACACGGCTTGTTTTATCTTACATATTGTTTATTGCTCATAACTGAAGCTAAATAAACTCTTATATTAAGACCAGACGTAACATTCCTGCTCTTATTTTTTATTTACTTGGACAGACGTAACATTCCTGATCCTTATTCCTCATTCATTTTGGACAGACGTAGTATCCCTGATCCTCATTTCTACTCGCTGAGCTTAATCAAGACAACAGCTCCCTACTATTTACAACCTTGGACATAACCTATACACATTTTTACCTTACTTTACACTCATATCACTTCAAAACCTGTCTGTAATAAACGATATTATTACTGGTGCTCACTACAAAACATACACATAAACCGTTACGCAACTACCTGGAATACCCCAAATTCACCGTAACACTATTAAAATCTTTAAAAGTTAGCTGAAAAATCCAAAAAAGGAAGGTGGCTCTACAGCGGTGCTTTAGTTTCTATAAATCCACATGTCATTTACTCCACCCCTATCTGATGAAAAGATCTATGCAAAATTGAGCAAGTACACGGTCATCCGGGATCCGAAATCCGGGATAAATAAGAAAGAGCCTCATTAAGCATCAAATATCTGTATATACTCCAAGAGAGGCAATGTATTTTATGGATGAAGCAATGACCGAATTATATCTTTGCTGTAGATCATATTTTTTTACTACCATTCACTGTCATACCATAAAGGATTAGTAGTAGTAGTAGTAGTAGTAGTAGTAGTGGCTGATTGGGTTCAGGGTGTTGATGCTGACAAACTTGCAACACCTATAACACACAAAAAAGGAAGTTGTCATCGTGCTGTTCACGCGTCCTGAATCTGTCTTTACGCGCTTTTGAGTAGTCCCTGTACTTCTTTTTTGTTTACCTACAACCATTCGTTTTCAGCTTATATACTTTAAATGAGCATTCGAATCTGTGCTTCATGCTATCAGTTTGGGCACTCGAGTAGAAGACACCGAGATTGCTTACTGAATCCGGCTCGCTTAGCTGCGCGGGAGCAGAATGAAATTCAATTCATCTTTGAGCACCATCAAAGAGTTGATCCAATTGTTGAAGAAATTCAAATGGCTAGCCCGAGCGTTGAAGATCCTGTCTCCGAGATCAATCAAGATCAAAGTGTTAATCCGAGCGATGAGATTGTAAGCAATAATTTTCGAATAGACAATGATGTGACTAAAAATTGACACATGTTTGTAACAGTCAGAGACGGTTCCTCGGTGCGCAAGCTGTGGCCAACTTGGACATTCACGTAGAGTTTCCGTAGTTGCCCACTTAATCCAAGGAATCTGCAAGCTGATATCTCAACTGAGCCTCAAGTAATTAACAATCCCTCCTGTATAGGCTATACAGTCTATAATTCTAATATCGCGTTTCTTTTTCTTTCGCAGTTTCATCCCGCCATCGGATGTATCCGTGCAAACCATATTCCTGATCGCCATTCACTTGGATTAATGGATCGTGAGTGTTCGTATTGTCACGCGCGTATGTGGGTGCAAGAGCGTGTATCAGCATCTTCGGAGACATCACCTGAATTCCAGCTATGCTGTGCCAAAGGGTCCATTACTCTTCCTCCGCTGAGTGAAACTCCACCAGAGATAGCAGAGCTATTATGTGGTGATGACCGTGCCTCGCAGGATTTCTGTAAAAACATTCGTGCATACAACAATGCTTTGAGTTTTACGTCCCTTGGTGCCAGCGTTGATCAAGCTGTAGCAAACGTGCGAGGTGGTGCATACAACTTTCGGATCCATGGCACCATGCACCATATGATTGGGTCTTTGCTCCCTAACACGGATGAGGATACCCCAGCTTTTGCACAAATCTACGTCTATGATCCTTCCATGGAATTGCAAATACGTCAGAATGCCACGAATGCCCCTGTGAACACAGATACTTTGCGCACTTTGCAGGAGCTGATGCATCGTGTTTGCCCCTTTGCCCAAGCTTTCTAAAACATGGCCGATCGCTATCGTGACGACAATGTCGAAAACGTTACATTAGTGATTCGCGCAGAGGGTACCCCGGATCAAGGGCGGTATAATAGACCAACAGGTGATGAAGTTGGAATCCTGATTGTGGATAACACGCATGACGGCCAGGTTGGGAACCGCGACATTGTTGTGCGAGCTCAGTCAAATCAATTGCAGCGTATCTCAGAGAAGCATCGTTTCTATGACGCCATGCATTATGTATTGATATTTCCTCAAGGTGATATTAAGCTCTAATCGTCTGCTGTAGTGCGTAATTCTAACTTACACAATTTCAGGTGATGAGGGTTGGACCATCGAAGCGCGCAATGACAATGGTGCTCACATAACAGTGATGGAATGGTATAAATATCGCCTGATGGTGCGCGAGAACGGTGACGACGACAATGGACACGATCTGCATCGCTTCGGTAAGCTGTTTCAACAGTTTATTACTGACATGTATGCCAAGATGGAATCCGGATGCCTTGGCTACATCACGTAGAACCAGGACAAGCTACGTTCAGACTTGTACAATAGTGTTGTAGATGCCATGAATCTGGGAGACAATGATATGGCCAACGTCGGTAGACGTGTGATTTTACCATCGTCTTTCACCGGTGGCCCGCGGCATATGCAACAGCTCTATCATGATGCCATGAGTATCATGCGGTGCTTTAGAAAGCCTGATCTTTTCGTTACATTTACGTGCCACCCGCGATGGCACGAGATACAAGATTCTCTTCTTCCAGGACAGACAGCACCCGACAGACCGGATATATGTGTTCGGGTATTCAAACTGAAATTGAAACAGTTGATGGATGATCTTACCAAAAACATGGTTCTGGGCACAGTGATTGCACATGTCCATACTGTCGAATTTCAAAAACACGGGCTACCACATGCTCATATCCTCTTGATCCTTGCCAGAGATGATAAACCAACGACACCTGAAGATGTGGATGATATTGTATCGGCCGAGCTTCCCAACTCGGAGCAATACCCAGCCGCACGCGCAATAGTGGAAAGACACATGATGCATAGACCCTGTAGTGACCGTCATCCTCGATCGCCATGCATGCAAGACGGTGCCTGTTCAAAGCGCTTTTCAAAGCAGTTTATGGATGAGACCAATATGTGTGACAATGGATATCCTGTTTACAAACGACGCCGTAATGATGCCGATTTTGTTGAAAAAAATGGTGTTCGTATGCATAATCAATGGGTGGTCCCTCACAACATCTTTTTATGCACCAAGTACGACGCACATGTCAATGTAGAAATCTGCACCTCGATCGCTTCCATTAAATATGTCTACAAATACGTATACAAAGGTCACGACCGTGCGTCAGTAGCTGTAACTCATCAACAACGTGCGCAAACCGAAACCAACCAACACGGTGAACCACCTATAAACGAAATTCACACCTATCTCGATACACGATACGTGTCTGCATGCGAAGGCTCCTGGCGTCTCTTTTCATTCTCTTTACACAAGGAATTCCCAAGTCACCAGCGTTTATCCGTACACCTTCCAGATGAGCAACTGGTGCATTTCAACGAGGATGATGATCCTGGAGCTGTTGTTGGTCGTGCACATGAAACTACATTGACAGCTTGGTTTAACTACAATGCTGAAAATGAGGATGGGCGAGCGGTACTATACCCTGATTTTCCTGAGAATTACGTCTTTGTCAAATCAGAACGTCGCTGGAAAATCCGTGAACGCAGTCATGGTGGCACCATCGGACGCATGTACACTGTCTCCCCAAGTCAAGTCGAAAAGTATCATTTAAGAATATTGTTGTACCATGTTCCTGGTGCAACAAGTTTTAATGACCTCAAGACCGTTGAAAACGAGTGCTTGCCGACATTTCAAGCTGCTGCAAGG